AGGAAATCCTCGCAACTGTTCGCTGCACTGGCTGAGCATATGAGAGGACAACCAGTCTCCACCCAGCGCCTTTCCCGCTGGATCACCTCCTGCATACGCACGTGTTATGACTTGGCTGAGGTTCCCCCACCGCCTATCATAAAGGCCCATTCCACGAGAGCGCAGGCCTCGTCGGCCGCCTATGTAGCCCACGTCCCTATCCAGGACATATGTAGGGCGGCCACGTGGTCCTCTGTCCACACCTTTTCCTCACATTATGCAATCATCTCCCAAGCACAGGACGATGCTGGGTTTGGTAGGGCTGTACTCCGCCCCGATAACCTTTAAACTCCTACCCGCCTCCATCAGATATAGCTTGGATTCACCTATAGTGGAAAACACAGGAGCAATCACTCGAAGAAGAAAGGACAGTTACCTGTTCCGTTACTGGTGTTCTTCGAGATGTGTTGCTCCTGTCTATTCCACACCCTGCCCTCCTTCCCCTCTGTCGGAGTTGTCTGGCAAGAAGGAACCGAGGGTGGGGGGGAGTACGCAGCTCCCCTTATAGCGCAATATAGAGGCAACGCTCCAGGGTTCGCAGCAGAGCTCCCCCACTACGGGTACTGCTAAGGGGAAAACTTTTGGCACCGGTGCACGTGGCGAGCACGCACACCTACTGTGTAATAGACAGGAGCAACACATCTCGAGGAATTCCAGTTACCGAACAGGTAACTGTCCTTTCCATTGACCAGTGCTGCTTCGGCAGTAACCAAAGATGCTAAACTTCCCAAGAAAAGACCCCATTCTCCAGAATCAGATGAAAAAGGGAAAGTCACTTCCTTGATCTGGGTCTCAAGAGACCTCATGTCCAAACACAGATATTGCTGAGGCTCCCTTTCGCGCAGTACTGTGACCACAGTAGCATACCTAGAAGTCATCTAGAGAGCTTCTGACACTGGCGTCCAACTCAGCCTTCATTTTGAGATTCGGAGGCAAAGTCCTTATTGGTACAGTCTTCCATAGCCTGAAGTGAAAAGTGTACCATACCTATTCTGGTGCTATGCTTATCCCATATGCTTACTCCTGAGAAAACACATCCACACGTCCTGGTCCTGTCCAGACTCCTATCTCACAAAGACCTCCGAATCCTCAAAGAGCCCAAATCACCATTACTGAAAGGTACTGAGAGGCACTCCCCACTGGTACCAGCTTATTTCTCTGAGCTTGCTTACCCTCCATCCTCTTCTTCGATGGTGACTCACCCTGTGGTAGCAACACCATCCCCACACAGGCTCTTTGAGAGAGACTTCAAGCTGGTACTGTTCCAAGATTCTCTGGAACTTGTTCATCAGCCTCTTTCTAACCCCAATTTTTATGTATGTGCAAGTATCCTTCTAGGGCCCCATACCAGTCTGTCCATGAGTACCTACAACATTTCCCTCCCCATTTGGATAACATCCTCTGATTCAGGTGTCTGTACGAGGTTCTTTCACCTTCCAGCCCTTCTCCGTAGAAACTGTCATTGAAGAAGGAGCACATAGCAAGAAATATACCGGTTAACAATTGAAGGATAATGTTGGGATGTTGTACTATTCCTTTATGCCTCATCAGAGTGCGCTTGCTGGAACCCATGGGCTTCTTATGGCTACCTTTGTTACCAGGATGCTATCTCAAGAATTTGCTTCAGGAACATCAGCCAGTGCATCTAGGTTGTGCCCCAGAAACCCATTCTCTACAGCAGGAACCAGTGGAAGAGGAAGAAACCTCACCTTCCTGCAAATCCTCCTCATCAGTTGAGGGTCATGCCTGCTTCAGCATCCTGTCCTACTAACTTTAAGGCCTTTCAAGAGTCCATGAAAAGGGTAGGAGGCACCTTACAAGTCCTGGTAAAGGAGATTTGGATTTCCTGACACTCCTTGTTGGATAACCTACATTCACCTCAGGGCAAGATTGTCTTGCCCATCTGTGAAGCTTTGCTTATTCTATTCCCTAGCAAATGGAGTGTGGTGAACTCCATCCACTGTTGCACTTCTGTATAGATGAGTCTACAAAAAGTATTCTATCCCTCCCAGAGGCTCAGTATTTATTCTCTCAGCTCTCTGGTGGTCAAGACTTCTAATGAATGGAACAGACCGCAATAGTCCTGTTCAACACCATTGGACAAGGATCTAAAATGATTGGATCTGCTGGGTCATAAGAATTGCTAGTTGGCTTCCTGGTAGTTCAGAGTGGCCTGTTATCAAGTCCCGATGGCTAAATGTGACTTCAGTTTATTAAAAATTTTCATCTTATTGAATATGTGCCTCAGGAGCAGAGAGAACAATTTCAGGCCCTCATTGCAGAGGGTCAAACAGCTGCCAAGGCATCTCTCCAGGGTTTGTACAATTGTCAGTTGCATATAACGGTCTATGGTTATGGCAATAGTCCTGTGCCAACCTTCCTAGCTGTGGTTTTCAGGCCTCCCGTGGGAGGTACAAAATACTATAGAGGACCTTCATTTTGAGGGCCCTCAAGTTGTTAAGTGACAACCTGTATGGGTCCCACCATTCTCTGAAGAACTAGTGGGTGACACTAAGTTCTCTAGGCAGCTGTATATCTGCAAATAAAGAAAATACATCCGGTTACAGACAGCTCAGCAGTTTTGCCCAGTCCACTACCATCCTATGACAATGGCTGAACTTCCCCTGCACATGCACATGCAGAAGAGACCCAAATTCCCTAAGGAAGGGGTTTCCCCTTCAGCAACCTCCCAGCCAGTGACATCTTCAATGTCTGTTTTGATCCATTGGTTGATGGTGGTAAACTACTTCTTGCTGTGGATCTTATATTGCACTTATTCCCCTCCCGCCCTTATGGGGAGTCTCTCTCCTATTACCTATCTTCCTGGGAGCTCATCACTTTGGACAGATGGATCCTAGAAGCAATTTTCACAGGCTTCTCCATCCAGTCCAGCTCCTTACCACCCCATTCCTCTTTAGGGACCCTTCTCACCAAGACTTCTTAAGGCAGGAGGTAAAATTCCTCCTGGCTTTGGTGGAGATTGAAGCTGTCCCATCAGACTTAATTGTGAGAGGATTCTGTTTCATCAGGATAGGATTCTCTTCTTGGTATTTTCTTGTCCAGAAGTCACCCCATGAGGGGTGTGGGGAGCAGACCAATTCTGGACCTCAGGACTTAAAACACCTCCATCTGCTCCTGATCGTTCAGAATATGACCCTAGGACCAATAATTCCCTCTGTCTGGGAGGCTTTATTCCTTGATGTGACGAAGTGGGGGACTGACCCCGAGAGAGAGTGGACCCCCGAGAAGTGCTGTCACACTGAAAGGGGCACCCCCCCACAGACCGCATGGGGCCAAGAGTGGGCACGATCTGTGAGTCCGTGACAGTTGAACCTTCAGGATTCTTGTTTCCATGTCGCCATTCATCCCTCACACAAGCAATTCCTATGCTTTGTGGTAGGCAAGGACCACCTTCCCATAAAAAAGTTCTGCACTGCAAAGTGTATCAAGAACCTATTCAACCTCTTTTCTCCTATCCAGGAACTAACACCAGCATGGGACCTCACTCTAGTTATCAACGCTCTGAGGAAACCTCCATTCGAACCTATGGGGAGTTGTTCCCTACTTCATTTGGCCCTTTAGGCCTTATTCCTCGTACCCATTATTTTGGCCAGGAGCGTAAGAGCTTGGAAACTTTTTGGTGGACCCAGTGCTCTACCAAAATAAGATGACTTAGTTCCTAAGTCTTTTCTGAATTGCATGTTAAGCAGGAGATTAATCTACCAGTATTTATGCCAAGCCTCACTCTTATGGAGAAGTGAGCCACCATACACTTGATGTTTAAAGAGCTCTTGGCTTTTACCGTGACAGGAGTAGGCCCTTTTGGGTTTCCCCTAGACTTTTCATCTCTGTTGCAGAAGGAATGAAAGGGGACATCTGATCTGCACCCAGGGGCTGTCCAAATGGGTTGAAGGTTGCATCCTCTCATGCTACGAAGTTTCATTGTTAATCCACCCTCCTCCCCTGAGAGTTACTGCTCATTCCACCAGGACTCACTCTAGCCCCTGTCAAATATATACCCATTTCAGACATTTGCAGAGCAGCCACCTGGTCTTTGTGACCCATGTTTTACCAGCATTATACTCTTTCATGCCTGCCTCCAGGACAGACATGGCCTTTGATGTTGTCCTGTGATCCATCCTGAATCCACTTCCTCGGCACCCTGTTCCCTGATGGGAGTCTGCTGACATGGAGCACCCATAGGGACACTACTCAGGTAATCTCTCCTCTTTCTTTACCTTGTATAGTAACTGGAGTTCTTCCAGACGTATGTCTCCAAGGGTATGCCACTGCCAACATCCTTCCCCTCTGCCTCGGAGCCTGTCTTGAAACATTGGTGGTTGAGAAGAAATTGCACTGGCATTGGGCTCGCCCTCCCTGTATATTCTTGAATCAAGGCACGGGGTGTTCAGGGTTCAGATATGGATCCATAGACACTGCTGAGTGAAAACTCCTCTCCGGGCATGTGCATATCCTGATGTGGAGCACACATTGGGGGAGAGGGGGCACCTTTCGAAGAACTCCAGTTACTGTAAAAGGTAAATAACCCGATTTACCTCTCTGCCGGCTGCCCTGGGCACCCAAAACATACTGCCGGGGAGGGTAGCCTGACCGCTCTTATGGCTTCCCTTTGCTTCCCCCATCAGAAAGGCATTTTTCTGCAGGGAAACAAAGAAATCTGTGGGGAACATAAATTATGTGCAGTGGCACAGAATTCTCCCAGGAGTAAAAGTTTCAAAATTCCAACAGACTTGTAGTAGAAACAAACGAATTAACATGACATCGATATTGTTCCTTTAACTGAAAGAATTTAATGTAACAAAATAATTGCACTCCACAGAGCAAGCTATTTTAAACATAAAATAATTATAGTTAAACTTTTTCAGATAATAAATTTTGCATTTAAATTTTATTGTGTACATTCTGAGAATGCTTAAACTTCCAAATATTGTCTAATTCAGGTTGGATGGGCAATGGCCTGAAGGTTTAATGTCTTCAAATAATATTCTGCATTTCAACAGTCCATTGACTTTCAATTATACTGGGACTTACGTCTGTAAGGTGACCAATTCCCTTGGACAAAGAAGTGATCAAAAGACGATCTACATTTTAGGTGAGTTGTTGTTTCTCCCTTCACTTCTTACGCATGCTTTGTTTAAAATACTGTGTCAGAAGTTGGATTAGGTGTCTAGTTGAATGTGTTTTTTAGCCATGTTCTATAACAGGTTACCTAAAACTCAGTCTTTGATTAAAGATCATATAAAACTGGGAAGGACAAATGGAAATAAACCATTACCCTACTAGTATTGCTACTATTTCTAGGGGCTAATATCGTTGTTCCATCATGCATGCTGTCTGTAAATCGTAGTACTTAAAAGGACCAAAGTAGTGTCTGAGATGATGTACTAGCCCTAAGTGCTGGTAAGGAGTTAAATAAAATTGCAGAGTTGGGGGCGGGGGGAAGAAATGTTATAAAACCCAAGCTTAAAACGCTTTCCTGAGGGAGTCTGGTTTTATTCCTTTATCCTCAGCTGAGCTGGTCAGAATAACAGTGAGACCTCTCACTGCTCATACACTCCTATGGAGCAAGCATAATGCTAATTACAAGGGGCAGAAATGGTTAGAGCACCTGGCTCCACCTGCCCCTTCCCGTCTGTGTGGTACTCTCTTGAGGGTGGAGTATTGCTTTTGGCAGACTTTTAGTTAGTATTTAAATCAGGAAAGCACTTATTACAGTGTTTCCGACGGTAAAGAATTTCAGTAGCAGACAGAAGTGCCATGTTACCATAGTACATATTCCTTTGAGTATAGCAGCATATTGAAAGAGTACCAGGGCCTAATGAAGATCATATGCAGTAGCATCAATAGTAGAGCTGAGACCCAACATTATTATATTACCATGATGATGGGGGTAAACTAAATGGAATTACTTAA